TCATTAATTTGCAGGGTTATCTAATGTAACCAGTGTTTTGTGCTTTTCTTGACCTTAACGTTTTCAATATTTTTTCTTTCAATTCTCCTGAACAGCAATATCAAGTGTCCAGTATGAAAGACTGTGTTTATTGTTTAACATCGGAGTTTTACAAGGACAGATAGCTGCAGCTCAAAATTTTCAGACAGATGATGGGTTGAAAACTGCGGCAAAAATGTTTCAGGTGAACACTTGAAGTTATCCTATTATTTTAAAGTTCTAACCTTTTTCCGACATATGAATATTTATTGATGCTGGACATCCTGTTAAGACCAGTGTTCTTTAACACTGATCTACATCTACATCTACATTTATTAAGTTGATAAAATCTTGGAAGACATCACATCAACTGTACATAAGAACTAAAAATGATGGTTCCTTCCCGTATATATGAAGTATTATCATTATCATTATCATTATTATTATTATTATTATTACTGTTATTATTATCCTTTTCTGTATATCCTGCTTTGCATTCATATTAGAAGGAAGCTGAAATAGAGGATTTTACATTTATTTTACATGAAGATGACGGTATGACGAGTATTTCTTGCCATTTTAGTTAATAATTTCATATTGTGTTACTCTGCAGTCTGCCAGTGGTGCTTTCCAGCTTCTAAAGGATAAAGTATTTCCCCTGTTGCATCAGGTACCAACACCTGACTTATCTGTGGAGATGCTGACAGCACTGTCAGCTATAATGTTGGCTCAAGGGCAAGAAAGCATCTGGAATAAAACAGAACAAGGTACTTATATGTAAATTGAAAAACTATGCTAAAAGGATAAGGAAAGTAGAAGTAGCAATATGGTTTGTTGTCCAATGAATATACTGAATGGCTTCTGGAACAGAGCTTGTGTAACCTCTGGTATATGCATGATTCATTTAACATCTTTCACTGAGGAATCAGAGCAATTTGAATAATTACCAAGGTGTGGGTACTGGTTCTGTTACATGTAATACTTATGGTAGGTGTGGCATTCAAATGGTTCAATGTTTCCTTATGGAGAGGTGTGGGTTTGAGCCCTAGCTTGGGTCATATTTGATTCATATTGTTGGACGAGACACCTTACTCTCATAGTGCCTCTTCAACTTGGAGTATAAATGTGTACCAGGAAATTGTTAGCAAATAATGCAATTGGGCTCAACTGTCCATAGACTAGACAGTGTCCCACTGAGGAACGGAGGGGGAGTTGTAGTACTTCAAGTTGTGTCATAGTTCCAAAACCAGAGATAAGCAGTGCCACTGGAGAGCCACTTTCATTGTTTAGCTTGTTGGTACTTACATTATCTATCTGTGTGCTTTTTGCACACTAGATAAAATGAAGGATGCTGTGATTGCCAAGGTTGCTGCCCAAGCAGCAGACTTCTATAAGAGTGCATACAGTTCTTCACAAGTGACATCACTTAAACAAGTGTTGGAGAAGGTAACAATTAAGCACTACTGATACAAAATTGCTAATGAGTAGTCAGTACTGGAGTTCTATATACTTTATACTCTGGTTGCTTCTATGACTGATGAAAAGAGTGCTGGAACAGTGGCATTACAGGTACAATAGACTGTAAGCAGGCTGACCATTGAGTAACCTGTAAGCAAAGAACGATTCAGGGAATGACGCGATCTGGGGGGGAGGAGTCTGGTGTGGAAACACCGTGCAGCTTTGCTGCTTGTGCATGTGCTCCCCAAATGTGAGCCTGCTCACATGGTACATTACAGGGTTGTCACAAAGTATTGAAGTAGGCAGTTTTTGTTGTTGGTGTAAGCAGCTGATTTTGCCATCATCCCAGCAAAGTACCTGGTCAAGATCGTGAAGTAGATAAAGACTTTTGCCATCAGCCAGCTATGTGCGATAACCGTACATCAACTACTAGCGATACTGATTTTTTGTAATTGGAATGTAAGAGCCTCATTTTTTTTTTTGTCTGATTTCGTGCTAGGAGTGGATTACTATTCTTTCAGCCAAATCAGACTTCTTCAAAGCGATAGCAGAATATCATCAGGCTCGTGTGGCCAAGGATAAAGGAGCTTATGGCGAGGGTGTGACCAGGTTTAAGGTGAGATTTTAGGCTGAAGACAAACTGTGAAACTCTGTCATACAGCTCTGTTAAAAAAAATGCCTTGTTTCTCACAAGGCTTCCTTCTTGAGAGACAAATCTTGTTTCTTGGAAGAATCACCAACATGTCATTTCGGAGTGTATGAATTATGAGATGGCTTTATTTTTCTAGATCCCGCTACTGATGGTTTGTTGATAATGATAATAGCATGAGTTGAAGTGGTTTTCTGTACAAATACTGGCTCGTTATACATGTATTTCAAATTTTGCATAATATCACAAGCCGCTTGCTTGATATGTATGCTTCCTTTTCCTATTCACATATTATTTCCTACTGTTCTTTTCTGTGAGCATCTCACAGCTTCTCTTTGATGTATTTTCAGCAAGCCGAGCAGCTGATGGCCAACGCTGTAAAACAAAGCATGGGACTGATTGACTGCAAGGTAAACCAGAATGCTGCAAACTAAAAAACAGACCTTTTTTTTTACAAGTATAGCTGATCAAAGAAATTGACGAAATTGTCCAGTAAATAACGACAACAGCATCAACAGTAGACCATATTCGTATTCTTGGTATTGGACTGCAGTGGAGGTCCGTGCGGAGAAATATCATTGAAAAGGAATAAATGCTATTTGCTATTTGAAGATTCCCCGCGTTAGCCTCGGTTGCAAGCTAGTTCCAGTCTAATACCGAGAATACGAAAAATTATGGTCTATTACAGATGAACCACACACTTTTTTAACCTCATCTCATTGGTTGTTGTAACTACCGCGTTGTGCTTTTAGAGAGACAGACCACCTTGAACATCCTGTTTCAATAAGAGTAGCATTTTTCTCAGAAATTACTGATTTTCACCTGGTTATTCTAAGACTGGAATAAAAATAATCGTCTCATCCTTTGAAATTCATCGCGCTCCAGACACTGCAGACATCCTGTGAAATTAGTGTAGTTTCTGGCCGGCACGCACCGAACGTATCTCGGGTGACTTTGCTAGAATCCAGATGTAAATGCAAATGATCAGTCCTAAAAGAAGTTTTAAACTCTGATGCAACTTGTTCTTTGAACTGATGTTTTTTGTTGTCTTTTCTTGTGCAGACGTGGCAGGGAAGAATTCAGCGAGAGGCGGCAGAGCTTAAAAAAGACAATGAATTTATTTATCATGACAAAATGCCAGATGTAGACTCGCTGGCGCCTATTGGCCGCGCAGCTCTCGCCAAGTCTCTGCCGCTATCCAAACCGGCATCATCTAATTTTGTAGACCTGTTCTCCAAGTTGGTGCCCATGGCGGTCCACAATGCCTTGCAGGCGTACGAATCCCGCAAAGTAGAAATAATTAACTTTGAAGTTGGCCGACTTCGCGAAGGAACCCAGTTGATGAACAGGTATCTAAGCGCTCTGAGTTAGACTCGAATTCACGTAAGTCAATAATTCGGTCACATGAGTTCAACGTAGAAAAAGTGGTATTACACAAAAGCAAACAGAAGCTCTTGAAAATAGTGTTCATGGACTTTCATTTTAAGGGTCCTGTGCTCGGACTATAGTTAATCCGCAGTGGTAAAACTTACAACCATCTTGCGTAGTTTAGTAAACAGTACTGCTCAGTAGCTTTCATTTGAATCGTCACACGACTCGGTTTTATCCACAGACTCAAACGTTAGAACCACCTTGTACAGCAAAATAAACAGCACCATATGAAAGGGCTGCTCAATAGCTTTCATTTAAATAGTCACACACTAGGATTTTAACCACAGACGTAAAAGTTAAAACCAGCTTGTACAACGTAAGTAACAGTACCACATGAAAGTACTGCTCAACAGCTTCACGTGAATGGTCGGACACTAGGGTTTCATCCAGTAACTTTTAAGCTAAAATCACCTTGTACAACATAATGAACATTAGCACATGAAAGTACTGCTCAATAGCTTTCATTTGAATGGTCGGACACTAGGGTTTCATCCAGTAACTTTTAAGTTAAAATCACCTTGTACAACATAATGAACATTACCACATGAAAGTATTGCTCAATAGCTTTCATCTGAATGGTCAGGCACTAGGGTTTCACTTTATAGCCAGGGTTTTGCTTAATTTATTATAGCTTTCCCTTCAACAGTGAAATAGTAACAGTGGTGCTGGTAGCCTTACGTGTTTTGTATCCAAGAAAAATGAATTTTCTAGATAAAGAAAGGTTGTAGAACAGCAGGTAAGGCCCATTGCTCGTGGTTTGTCGTGTATGCACCTCGTTCTCATCTTGGTGTGTTTTCTTGCTTGCCAGTGTACTTGCGTCGCTGAACTTGCCGGCGGCCATTGAAGATTTGTCGGGACAGACGATTCCCAAGTCACTGTTGGACAAATCTGCGGCAGTGAATGAGAAAGGGGGACTGAATGCTATCGATGTATTAATGCAGGAGTTACCAGAATTACTTCAGAGAAATAGAGAAGTACTTGACGAGGTGAGAAAACCCAATGGAAGAATTTAGGGGTTTCATTAAGGGCCGGGCACCAGGAAAATTGACTGGCTGTGAGGATAATTTTGGCCAGCTGGTTTGACCTTAGCTTCCGGAGGAAAGTCGTTATAAAGAAGTTCAGCTCAAAACGTTTTGCCCACCTGTAAAAACCAGTTACCCTCCTGCGTAAAACGTTTATGAAACCCCTGGAATTACTGCTGTGGCTTCGTCTCCTTTAACGTTTTCAATATCTCTCACAGAATCGTAACGTCATTTAAAAGGTGGACATGACTTAAGGTTTGCTACATGTATTCGTGGTCTTGTTTGCCGTAAGAGAGTCGTAAGCGAACTCCTTTCTGCTCTGTCGTGCTAAAATAGTTGATAGGATGCACCTGGATTAATGAGAGAAGTTTTGTTATTGACAGGCAACTCGGATGATGGACGAAGAGGAACGTCAAGACACACAGATGAGAGAGCGATTCACAGCCAAATGGACGCCCAAACCATCGGCTGAACTCACTGTCCAGCTCAGACAGGAAGCTGATAAATATCGCGGCATCATGGAAAATGCCGTGCGAGCTGATGCTGTTGTGCGTGAGAAATACAACGCGCACCGTCGCAACATGGATCTGCTTAGTAAGGGAGAGGTAAGAAAAAGTGACCAATCAGGAGCTCGCCCTCGCCAGAAACAAATCATTAGTGATTGGCTGAAACAGTTAATGAAAGAACTTACCTGATAAGCGTGGAGAAAAAGAAAAAAATGAAAGAAGAGGGAAAAAAAACGCATTGTCATCGCACGATCGTTTCCTTCCCTACTTCAAAGGAAGGCGTGTGAGCTTTGAGCCGAAAAATAACATGCTGCTGACGTATCTCTACAGATAAGTCTCTGATTGGTTGACATGTTCCAGTAACAACCAATCAAAGATGCTGAACCGACCTCGGCAATGTTACGTCATCAATAGGGAGGTTTTCCGCTTGAATATCAGATGAACAAGTATACGGTTGTTAGTTCGAAGCCTGCTAGAAATCTATTCGCATTGAAGTCAATAACATTCTTCCGGGGACTAAGTTCCCTCATTCGTGACGTTATGTTGTTTGCAAAGGTTTCTTTGGAAGTTGCCAAACACTTTTAGGTCGCAGAAGTCAAAGCAGTACAAGTATTTTGAACACAAGAAGTAATGTATCAAAAACGAAAGACCGTGTTTGACTACATTTACAAACACCGAGAAGAGAGTTAAAAAAGCGACGCGCAGCGGAGTATTTTTTGACAAACTTCCAGGTGTTTGGAAATGTGGTCAAACACTGTCTTGAGTGTTTAATATATCTTCTCAATCGAAACAAAAACTAAGGAGAAAACGGAGAAATGAAATCATAAAAATCTGTGCTAATTAAGATCAGATATTTAAACACCGTCACGGTCATGATTTCCTTTGCTTGAACGTGATGAATTATTAATGAGTTTGACAAATATTACTTCTCAATCGAAAATAAAACTGAGGGGAAAACGGAGAAATGAAATCATGAAAATCTGTGCGATTAAGTTAAGATATTCAGACACTGTAACGGTCACGATTTCCTTTGCTTAAACTTGATGAATTATTAATGAGTTTGAGAAAATACTTTGCAGACTGATTTCAAGCAGTTTCTAGGCTAGCTTGTGATAATTATGTCCATTTAGAAATGTATCACATCTTGTTGTCTGTGTGTTACAGGCAGAGTTGACAGCGGCGATTCCTAAAGTGGGAGCTGCTTCGTCGTCATCAGCGTCCAGCCCTGCTGTCCAGGAACTTAGAAAACTGATGGAACAGGTGGACACCATCAAAGCTGAAAGAGATGCCATGGAGCAGGACTTGAAAGTGCAACAGGACGATATGGGTGAGTAGGGCAACATACCAAGGTGGTATCGTGATTACTTGCATGGCTTGATAAGATAAGGCTGCAGGCCTTGGTAACCTCGCGAACACTATAGGGAATAATTGAGGAGCAAAAATTGACCATAAAAAGTAGTGCTACTTTTCGCCAAATTTGTTCATTTTTGTTGCCCCCTACAAATATTTCGGTATTAAACTCTAGCGTGACCACATAGCTTCCAGTAGACTTGCCAGAAGTTGACCTTTGCTTAATCCTTCGCTTATTTGTCTCCCCCGAGCGAAGTGAGAAGGTAATCCTCGAGTGACGTCAAAACCAACAAGCCAGGGAAGAGTTATTGGAAAGGACTTTTAGAAAGTCTAAGGGTCCAGTTTCTCACTACTTTTGAAAGTGAACTATTTGTTATTTTTCTATCGGATAATCCCGCGTATATTGTGACAGCGAACAGGTAGAAAAACCGGAGCAAGGCGAGAACCAACAAGATTGAAGAAAGTCAACCCACATATGGCACCGGGCCGGAATCAAACCCAGGCCACATTGGTGGGAGGCAAACGCTCTCACCACTGCGCCATCCGCGCTTCCCTGCTCCACATGTGTGAAGTTTGACAGACATCTTCCAAAAAAGAATTGATATATCACTTGCTAATTCAGGAAGTGTGTTCCCCTTATTCTTTTTAAGCCGTGAAGTTTCTCAGTGCCCTTGCCGCCGATGGCACTATCCCGGATGTAGAGGGAATTATCAGCTCTAACCTGAGCGCAGGGTTTGACACGCTGAAGGAAAATGTCTCTGAAAGCATGTCGAGACAGGAGAAGATTCTTGCTTCGGTTCAGGTCTGTAGAATTGTATCTTGCGAAGATATCGTTATTGAAAGAACGCCGCAAAAAGGCTTGCTTCAGTTACAACAGTTATTGCTCTCTGTTAGCTTAGACAACGCTTTGAGAAAGAGGCTGAAGGTAATTCGGAGGACGCAAGAACATCGAAGAGGATCGATTTTGAAACTGCATACTGTACAATCAAAACTTCACTTAAATGGGAATATATCTGAGAGCAGACCAAGTAGACAGCTTGTCCTTTTTATTTTTAAGCTGAAGGGACTATGTTCCCTATTCTGTTGTCGTAAGTGTATTAGTGGGGAATTTGATTATTAGAGAGTGTGAACGGTGCGTTAATCTAGCGACTGGACGGGTTACACTATTGATTGAGAGGTGGAGTGCACTCTTACGTTTGACATATTTACGGTTTTCAATCAGTTTGAATTTTCCCAAGTTGGCTTATTAAGGAAGTACATTCTTTGAAGACATGATTGATCATCGCAGTCATGCACACAACTTACGTAATTGTGAAATTAAAGCTTGACAAAAATTCAGGCCCGAACGGGATTCGAACCCATGACCTCTGCGATACCGGTGCAGTGCTCTACCAACTGAACTATCAAGCCATCTGGGAGCTGGTCACTTTGTGAGTTCGTAATATACCCGTAGATGGCAATCTACTTGTATTACAAGTACATTTTGTAAGGTCCTTACTTGTGACTGTTTTAGTGCTGATTTCTTCTTTCTCTTTTTTTATTATTTCAGACTGCAAATGAGAAATTTGTCAGAGAAAAACAGTCTGGACAGGCAGCAACTGAACGTGAAGCCATGCTGAAAGATCTGGCGACAGCTTATGATATTTACATGGAGCTCATTGGCAATCTACAGGAAGGGACTAAGGTACAACGTGACTGAGGCTAGGCGTTAATTTATGCTTGTTTCATCATCTTGGGTTTTAAGGTCTTTTTTTAGGGCACTTTTCTTACATTGGAAAAAACTTCAAGTAATGTTCTTTATTTATTAAGTTTGTAAATTTTTTTTCTTTCAGTTCTACAATGATTTCACTCCGATCCTGTTGCGTTACCAGCAAAAGGTTAGCGATCTCGTTTTCGCCCGGAAAACGGAGCGTGAGGAGTTGTCCAGGTAACAGAACGTTGAACATGTTTCGCTAATACAGTCGAGCCTCTCCATAAACGACCACCTTGGGGACAGAGGAAAATGGTAGTTTAGCGGCCGTTCCCGTTGTAGAGAGGTGGCTAAAATAAGAGTGAATATATGGACCGTCCGCTGGGACGAAAAAAAGTGGCCGTTGCGGAGAGGTGGCCGTTAGTGGAGGTTCGACTGCAGTTACATGCTTGAGGCTGGTGTATAATAGCGATGCTCCCAGTCACTTCATGCTACGGAAACAAGAGTCGTGCTTGTGCTGGTTTAAAAATTAGCCACACGGTTTGCTAAACAGAGTTGACCTTTTCCAATATTTTAATTGATTGCAGAGATCTCCAGAAGACAATAGCGAACCAACCCGCAGAACCAACTCCTCAAGCGCCGCCACACCATCAACCTTCAGGTTAGTAAGTGATAAATGGAACAATAGCACTAGGGGTTACAGTGAACAAGGCTAAGACGAATAGCGTAATTACCACCTCCACCCGTTGGTCAAACGTTCGGGTGAAAATTAGTTTCATTAGGAAGAAAATGAACGCGCAGGTTAAACACATTTTTATATGAATGGTTTCGTACGAAGCTTCGTTTTGGGACAGAGATCTCTTGGAATTAGACCATAACAGTACATAATAGTAAAAAGTAATTAACAAGTAGTTAAAATACTCCTACTGCTCAGTAGCTTACATTTCAAAGCTTTTGCTTTCAATTTTGTTTCACTGGTGTTTCATTCGCGAGGTGCTGAAAGGCTTACATAAAATACAATCAGGGTACATTTTTAAATTACATTTTTCTGCATCATTTTAGGTGCTCGAGTTCCTCCTGGTCGCCCCCCTCCTCCGTCTACTCAGCCACAGCAGCAGCCAAGACCGATGGCCCCTCCAACCTCAGCTCCACCAGCTGCTACCCCAGGGGCACCCCCGACGGCTCCTCCCTCTGGAGCTCCCCAACCGTACCCTGGTCAACAGTACCAACCGATGCCTCCCCCTGGATACATGCCTTATCAGTATGGCAGTTATTCACCTCCAGGAGGAATCGGCGGAATACCCGGAGGGTATCCGGGATACGCGCCCCCACTACCCCCCGGTTATTATTACGGTGGTCCATATGGAATGCCTCAAGGCTACCCCCCTCAGGGGCAGCAACCTCCACCCGGGCAACAACCTCCCCCTGGGGGTTATCCACCTCGTTAGTTCGCGTGAGGTGTTTTAGGTAGGGGACTAGGCAATAAAACTGCCAATAGAGTATAGGTGTAATTTCCGATTTATATTTGAGCATTAGCCATGGACGTGAAAATGTCTAAAACCTAAAACAAGCTGCATACTTGAACTCCAAGATATAGCTATAAATTTAACACGACCAGCAGTCCACATAGCGCAGCCATTATTCATTTTCCTTGGTCCTCTGCACTTTGCATGATATTTGATTATAGCGGTAAGTCCGCAAAAGAAACGACATCCAATTTCAAACGATGATTGTTGTGTGCATCGTTAAACTGGCGAAAAGAAATGGAGATGGGTAGCAATAGAAATTTGTGATTATGTACTATTAGTTCTACCTCAGTTGCTCAAAACCTCGCGCAGACAGACACTTAGCCATGTTATATTTGACAAACACGTCCTACCAATATTCGTAATATTGGCAGGACGTGTTTGTCAAATAATGAACGTTATAGCTAGCCACTATTATGGAATGAAGATTGCAACAGCTTTAAAATTTCGCGATTTTAGACTTTTGGCGACACTTTTTGCGAATTTGGCGAATCTTTAGTCTGATATGCGAAACATTCAGTGACATCAAATTTTCGCGGCTAAAAAATAAACGAAAAACGAGAAAATTAGAGTTTGCGACAATTCTTTTTGATAAGGTAGCTATTTTCAATGTTTATCGAAACTAATTCATGTTCATGATTAACCCCCACATTCTCCCTGCTGTTTTGATACATTTAGTCTGATCAATAGTCGGGAGAATTTAGATTCAAGTCAAAACGGTTGACTTGAGATGATCAACCCTTGTCCTCTGATTTATTTGATCTTGAACTTGATCACTAATAGGTTTTGTTAATAGAGCGGTTTTCAATTGAGTGTCGTAAAACCAAAACCAAATTAATTACTGTAGCCAATCACAAAGGACGGATACATTACAGTGAGCCAATCAAAACGCAAAATAATTGCATGTAGCTGACGCGAAGCGCGGGTAAACGAGTGTGAGCGAGTCACGATTGGTTTTGGTTTTACCTCTGATTGGATGAAAAAGTGGCGCAAGTTTTTTAAGCCAATCATGGAAGGTAGTTGATGCAAAGCAATTACTTTTCGACACAACTGAAGACCGCGCTTGCTCAGGCATAAGGCTAGTAATTTTAGTTAGATGTTCTGTTTGCCGGTTAGCTTGTTTGATTTATTTTGGTCGGCACAATAGAGTAGAAAGACGATGTAGCTGTCTTGTCGACAATTTTTGTCTTTCAATAGGTATACTGGAATTGTTTGGATTATTTTTTTCTCACAAACTAATAAACATTCTGTTATTAAGGTACGTTTTCATGACTGTAATTATTTGCCCTGACTCTGTTTTGTCTGTGAGAGTGAGGTAGACACGGTTAGTGCTTTGGATGTGTTGTGGTCTCGGGCAAGTCTCTGCTACTACAATGTTTCTTGGAATAAGCTGTTGGCAAACCCAGTTATGGAAGTCTGCGCATTATAAATTATAAATTATAATTGACCCCGCGATGGATTAAAATGTTCACCAAAGGGGAAGTGAAAATACTCCCAGTCCATCAGTGCTACAGAACCCGCGATAACGGATTAGCTCTGGCGATATGGGAAAAATGACCTGGTGTAGACAATCTGGGAGACTTTTTCCAATTTGCCCGCAAATTTTGTCCGATGATATAGCGAGCCCAAAATTCTATACAATGGTTACACAATGATGGGCGTAAGAGGAGTCTAAGGGTTCGTTTTTTAGGGGATGATCAGGATCAGGATCATTCGCATCATGAGGTATCAAAGGAACCGATTAATGCTTGTCCAGGGTGGATTCATCAGTCCCTTTGATGCAGCATGATCCCGAGTGATCTTAGATCATCATATTGATCCTGATGCGGAATATCCCGAAGGAACACTGAAGATGAACGCTTTCTTTCTCATTATGAAGGGAGGTTGCAGGGGCGTCTCATATTTAAGCAAAATTATAGAGGGAGGTATTGCATTTACAAATCACGACAAGCGACGAAATGTTCATGCAACGTTTTTGCGCCGTGTACATATACCATAAAATACAGATACATTAATCAAAAAACTCTCGGAACAACTCTCAGTCCATTTCCTACGCTCAGAAAGTCAAAATCTCGCTAAGCGCGAGGCCGTCGCGAGGGGCGGCGCGCCGCTGACAAATTAAACTGCAGTTGCTCGAAGTAAGCCTGGGCATATTTGAAATTCTGTTGTAACTCCGTATCGTGCGCACTGTACTCTGTGCAGTTTACGGGGAAGACGTTAAATTAAGACTTGAATGAGTTGAAAAGGTACTCAATATTTGGCTGAAAGATGCCCAGACTCCAGAGAGTCCAGAGTCCAGAGTCTCATTTGAATTCGACATCCTGCCAAGCGGATTGTTGGAAGGTCACCGACGACAAACTCTGAGAGGTACAACAATTATATTTGACCTTGTTCTGTGTATGTCTAGACTTAAATCTCCTCCCTCCTCTCGACGATTTTGTCACCAACACCAAAATCATGGTCATTCGCTTGATGATTCTTGATGTCGGCAGATTTCAGAGTTGAACCTCGTTGAATACGACTCGACACACATACGGAAGTTGGTCGACAAGAATTGCTACAAATTCCGGCCTCCCGTATCTTGGTTTAATAACCTGAAGAAGTAAAACAACTGCATATGATTACTTCGATCATATGCAGGTATTTTCTCAAATCGTAACTGATATATATTTTTTGTAACTAAAAGGCATTCATCGCCCGCAGGGCTTTTGCTTTCGTCAGCATTCAAAGTGTGTTATTTGTAATGCTCCAGTAAGCTTTACAGGCGTCGTTTTGTCGACAGAAAGCGTCAGAAGGAGTTATTTTTTTACAGTCACGAGCTTCGTATCACCATGTTAGGTCCCCATCCCGGGAAGAACAATTATATAAGAGAAAATTTATGCGAAGAAAGACTCGGCGAGAAGTGAGGTTATTACAAGGGTGAATGATGATAATACTAATATACTCAATACTAAGTCGAGTTAAGTGTGGAAGCTGTTACAGGGAAGTCACTGATATATGCCACTAGGTAACTACAGAACAAGCTCTAGAATTAATCCCAACAAAATACAAGTAGTTCATCTTTAATGTTTTATCAGTCGTGTTGTAAGAGACATCTCCTTGACTTCTGTGCGTACGTAATAAACGCTCCATTTGTGCACATCCTCCATTTGCAGAGTGAAANTATCAGGAACATCTGCTTGACTGAAATGACATTGAAAGTTCCATCTTCTCCATTTTTCTCGGATGATATTAGTCCAAAAAAATTAACATCGAATGGCGCCAAAACTTTGCATTGATCAAACGATCGAAAATGCCACCACTCGTCGGCTCACCCGCCAAAACCCTACGCATACGCAGTCGTTTTTCAGCTCTGTCCGCCATTTTACGTATACGTTGCTATGGTTTTATGTTGTCTTTCCCAGTTTCTCGGCGCGCGCGAATGAGCATGCGCAGTCGTTTTTCAGCTCTGTCGCCAAGCGGATTGTTGGAAGGTCACCGACGACAAACTCTGAGAGGTACAACAATTATATTTGACCTAGTTCTGTGTATATCTAGACTTAAATCTCCTCCCTCCTCTCGACGATTTTGTCACCAACACCAAAATCATGGTCATTCGCTAGATGATTCTTGATGTCGGCAGATTTCATTGTTGAACCTCGTTGAATACGACTCGACACTCATGCGAAGTTGGTCGAAAAGAATTGCTGCAAATTCCGGCCTTCCGTATCTTGGTTTAATAACCCGAGGAGATAAAACAACTGCATATGATTACTTCGATCATACGCATGTATTTTCTCAAATCGTAACTGATATATATAAATTTTTTGTAACTAAAAGGCATTCATCGCCCGCAGGGCTTTTGTTTTCGTCAGCATTCGAAGTGTGTTATTTGTAATGCTCCAGTAAGCTTTAAAGGCGTCGTTTTGTCGACAGGAAGCGTCAGAAGGAGTTATTGTTTTACAATCACGAGCTTCGTATCACCATGTTAGGTCCCCATCCCGGGAAGAACAATTATACAAGAGAAAATTTATGCGAAGAAAGACTCGGCGAGAAGTGAGGTTATTACAAGGGTGAATGATGATAATACTAATATACTCAATACTAAGTCGAGTTAAGTGTGGAAGCTGTTGCAGGGAAGTCACTGATATATGCCACTAGGTAACTACAGGACAAGCTCTAGAATTAATCCTAACAAAATACATGCAGTTCATCTTTAATGTTTTATCAGTCGTGTTGTAAGAGACATCTCCTTGACTTCTGTGCGGACGTAATAAACGCTCCATTTGTGCACATCCTCCATTTGCAGAGTGAAANTTTTATGTTGTCTTTCCCAGTTTCTCGGCGCGCGCGAATGAGCATGCGCAGTCGTTTTTCAGCTCTGTCAGTTTCGACAGGAAAACAAACCGAGCCTGCGAACAACCGGAAATATAACTTGCCGACACCTCCCCTCTGATTCATCGCTACCCATCCGCTCCTCCCCACTCTGGCAGGCAGGTGCAGGAGCCTAGTTACCCCTCCCTTGTTTTTTTCTCTCGTCTTCTCCGCGCTGGTAGCGGCTTTGCAGTCGCATCTCTCAACGTTACTATTTTATGGCACAAAAATAGCAGTTTTTGAGTATGGGGTCTAAAGAACTGATAGAAAGTTTTTAAAAAAATCTCACCAATTTTAAAGGAGCCCCCACATGTCACATGACCTATGACGTAACGATATCTTCATTGCTGTCAGCAGGCTCACGTTGGAACAAAAGCGTGCGCAGCGAAACTGCGTGCGCGAAATCGAGCGACGAAGCCGAGAAAGTTTTCTTGCACCTCTTCACCAGACTCCTTCCCGCCGGATCGCTCTCCTCTTCGCCGCTCGCGCGCGTGACTCAAAGGTGAGCCTGCTTGCAGGCTGCTGTTAGAGTGACTCTGAAATCTGAAACAAAACGACGTCCTTCAAATACCTTTTGGAGTGATAGTTGTTCAAATCTTTCTTTCGTCCGCTCTTGTCAAAATATGTCAAAATATACGTAAAATATACGATATAATACAAGAAACATAAGGAGTAACGTTATTCGACGTTTCGATGTATCCCACATCAATATCAAGAATAAAAATTGTCTTGCATTATTCAGTATAATACAAGACATCAACTATCGTCATATCGTTGAAACACCGGCACTGGCACTGGTTACACGATCTCAAAGATAAAAAGATAAAGAAAAAAAAAACACAACTGCTTGGTCACAGGGAAATGATGCAAGGAAATAAATAACGCTTTATAATAAAGCGAAAGAGAGAAAATCATCTGCAACATGGTTCATTCGATTACTATACACTACTCACCTGTAATTAACCTCGAATTTAACATTGTCTGTTTTACGAATTTAATTTGAGCTTACATACAAAACAAACTCTCTTTCTGCTTCATTCGATTCAAGATTCGTGAGAGCACAATCAGGACACCTAGAAGTACACCTCTTGGCGAGTCAAAGGTATTAAATCTTAAAGACCCGATATCCCGTCAAGGATTCATTGCTTTTCTGAAACAGTCGCAGTCAAGTCCCCGGCAGGTTTCGTTTTAGCCTGTTCCAGACTCTTGGTCAGTGGGGACGATCGAAAAGCGGGCAGACGTCTGGAAGAGAAAAGGAGAGAGCGCCCAGTAATGTATTTGGTCTGTACTAATGAAGTTCAGTCGACATTACATAATGCTGATTGCCTTCTTTGCATTTACATGGCTCTATCGTCGGGTTATGGTCTTTCCGTGCTTGATATTTACTGCTAGGACGATACTTTAATAGCGTCCTATTTAAAAAGAAATAATGACATGCAATTAGAACTCTTGTTACATACAAGAGCAGAGTGCATTTAAAATTGCTAGAATGCCAGTGTTTGTGCTCAAAATTATGTATGAACTGATCAGTTAATTAGTTCGGGAACGGACATCACTGATTGTTATACCTCCCAACTCAAAATATAAAACAAACTTTGAAAAAAAAATTGCTTGACGAAGACTGCCACACAAATTTGCCTCGGTTTCAAGGTGCAAGACCTGATCACGTGCGAGTCGAAAGTTCAAGTTGTTGTTTCCCTAGGCAGTTAGTGAGTTTTGTTCGCCCTAGGGAGTTAGTGAGTTTTGACCCTTGACACATGACATGTTCTCCTCCAATCGGAAAACGTATTTGAGTTGGGATGTATAACAAAACGTGGAGCTACAGTTTTGAATTAGGTTTAGTGCTACTGGTAACTAGTCAGTCAAGGTCAAAACAATAAGTTTATGAGATGATCAAGTCCTAAAAAAGGAAAAAATGCCCGAAATGTTTGGTATCAAAGTACCCGAGATGAATTGGTAAACAACCGGGCGAAATGTCCGGCCTCTGGCATGAAAGATGATATAAGAATATGAGTTTTAATGTTATTGATATTGATGTAGAGACACAGCTGTATACCAGCACAGTTGAGCTGAACTGTACAAAACACTTTTCCCTTGAGAACTCGACCAAAAAACTCTGACTCAAAGCTTTACCTCAAATTAAACAAAATATTGTCAGTATAAACAAACTTGCTGTATGATCAGATTAAAGCTTATTATACTGATCCACCGCCTCTGTAGTGCATCAATCTTTTGATGGCCCATTCCTTTTTCTGCATAAAACGGTTGACCCACCCCCCTATTTTTACCAGTCCACACCCTTTATTTTATGACCAGTCCCTTAAGGTAACTAAACTTCCTGAGAAACAAGACTGGAATGCTAAATCAACTAAATTAAATGCAAAAACTTATTATGAAAGGATTAGGTAACCCAGAGAAGAAATATGAACAGTTGTGAGTGCTTTCAAAACCACTTAAATCTACGTAGCCAGAGGAAAAAGAAGGAAAAAAAAAAGAGAGAGAAAAAAAAAAGAAAAGAAAAGAAAGGTCTCTCTTTTAAAAATTGGCTTTAATAATATTGAAGTACTGGGTAATTTCATTTTTTGTGGCATAACTTTTTAATCAAATGTATTTTTTAACGTTAATTTCTGAGAGGGATTAAGTAAATTATAGTCATCGGAAATGAAAACATACGCAAACCTAACTCGTGTTTTTTGGGAAATAAGAGTTTTTCGCAGCTGTTCACGAGGTGATCTCAGGCTAACGATTATCATGCCAGTTCTCTTATGTGCTTCAAACAAAAGCGCTCTCATGAATTCAACAAGAAGTAGACGTTGAAGACGTTCTTTTCATTAAGCTTCGTTGCTATGGGCAAGGAACAAATGTCCGCAATTTGTGAGCGTAAGCGTTCATTTGTTTACTTTTTCCACTAGCTATTTACTTTGCGAAAAAAAGAGTTTGCTAAAAACACGTGAACATCACGATACATGAATAAATTGTCTTCATTAAATGTCAACTTATTATTTCCCCCCGTCAAACTCACGAAATGTAGTTGTTCAGGTTCGTAACTTTGGACGGACTGAAGAGCGAGCAAGAACACTACTCACCGGTTTGTTGGTCGATTTTTCTCAATTAAGATTAGAATAATTCATGTTTCCGTGGTTAATGCTTGTTTGCAGTTTATACTAACCGTTCCTACAGGAATCTTTGTTTCCTTTTGCCGGCTTTGACGAGGACGCCAGCACAATTTTGTTAGTTTTCTGTTAGTTTTACTAATCAGTACAGATATTCCATATACAAGGACTACACTCAGTCGGTTAGACGTGGATTTCGTTAAAGTTAATAATCTTTTAGTCTTAACGGTTACTGAAAATTGAGTGGTACACGTATTAAAGGACTCGGTACAGTTGACAAGGACCGTCAACCCAAAAATGCAGGGTAACCGATAACACGGCAACGAATTAGATTCTCTGTTTTATTACAGATACAGATTTTAATCCATTTCTTTCAATATAACCGAGAAAAAGCAGACAACATTCGAAATTCGATTTATCATTTGGCATGTCAGTGTTTACATTGATTGTCACTGATTGAGGTGGCCTTTTGACTATGAAATGCAGCTTCAATTGTTGTTTTAATCCCACTGCAACCAGAGCAAGTTATTTTATTTTTTTGTTATCTCCATTCCGGGTCGACACAAAAGCTATTCTCTTGTAAATTCATACTTATCCCGTCTTAATGAAGTTCTTTGTTCGTTAGACGCACATTGATTATGACTGAAACACATTGAAACGGTTTTTAACGAGCCGTTTAATGAAGGAAAAATAAAGCTTTCGCGTGCTTGGACCGCTTTGAACACGACCTGAGGTCAGCTGAAAAAGAGCTCTTAGATTTTCTCTCAACTCCTTAATGCTTGTCTTTTTCTAATATACCATCATTTTATGTATTGTCTACTCATGTTATTTTTATTAGATTTAATTTTTAAATTTTTATGATGTTCAGGTCTTTTCATTTGCAGGTCTATTCAAAATCTCGGAATTGTAAAGAGAATTGTTAACCGTTGTTATTCTCTCACTCGACGTTTGAATTTTACTGTCTTTACTGCTCAAAAAAATTCAAGTAGGACCTTAAATTACAGTCTATTATGGCAACGAGTATCGGCTTATCTTGACTGATGTGCTGAGTCAAGGCGGCAAGTTGTCGAGCAGTGTATTATTATTATTATTCAGGACTGAAATCAATACCACTCGGTAAGTAAACTGGTAAAATGAGCCTCTTCTGTAAAAATTACAATTCGATACAATTAGCCCTTGTGATATGTCCTCATTGTCCATACAAGGGAAAGAAATTATAAATCCCTTTACAAAATGCCTTGTTAGTTCCTTCTCATTTACCGGCGTTCGAAACTGAAGGGCTCAATTGAGATTAGCGTCCTAATGCCCTTCCATTTATATTGCAATCCTTATTGTTTTAGTTGTCATATTATTTATGTTTTTTTTCCCTTTTTTCAGGTTATTTTCCCCTTTAAATGTTGTGGCTTGTGATACGCCTGCCCGTGGCTATGCTAGTTTTGAAGTGTCTTGTGCATTGTGCAGTGCCAAACCCGACATTGAGAGAGAGTCCACCTATTGCGAAAGAGCAGTCGCACAATGAATTGAAAAGTACTTCGAAAACAATACTGCCAAATACAGCCTCGAAACAACCTACAACACCAACTGTAAAGACAACAAGAAAGGAAACAACAAAGAAGACCACGGCTCCAGCATTTGTGGATGAGTTTTCGCTTGAAGAAATACTGTTCAAAGGTCGACAATCGAGTAAGAAAACAGTTGCACAGTTCTTCTTTTAGCTAGCCTGTGTACATCTGTCAGCCCACTGCTAGAAAGTGGGCAGGTGGATGTAAACATTGCCCTTTTGTTTCTCGCACGTCAGCATACCATTTATAATTAGGCCCATTTAAGAATTGAACGTGTTGACAACTCTGGAAAGCGCACGGTAAGTTTTTTGACCCCTTGAGCTTTGTGGTCAAGTAGTCGGTGAATAGGAGTGAGAGTATTTACAGAGAAATCTTCGACAAATCGTATGCCTTGTCACCTGGGCTCATCTGCAGTCCTGTAGTAGGTCGTATTAGTGTTTATGGGGTAAAACCGTATATCGAGGTATTGTTATTGTTTTTGAGAGCTCACGGTAAACCGGTAAACAACTGATGATATGGGCCCTCTCAGGGAAGAACCTTCAGTCGACGCCGCTGAAGCAACTTGGTTAATAATCATGATTTAATGACTGTAGATCTTCGTAGAACGAAGAATAATCTTATATCGATCGCTTTTGCGCTGTAACGATTCGTTTCATTCTTGAAGGATTCGTAGCTTAGATCGGAGAGGCACTTGTGTTATTATTCTCATCGACTATGGACCGCCTAGTAGGCTTTTCCAGGAAACTTACGCTTCCAGAGTTGTCGGGTATTTAAATATCAGGCCACAAATCTATCTGATCTCCTATCTAGGGACATTTTCATATATTTTAAATATAAATATTACTTATATACCTGTCTACACTTATCTGATAACTCAGATAAAAGAAAACCAAAATTAAATGAACGGTATCAGTTTCGAGAATGGATAAAATGTCGACTGGATATTGGAAAACTACATGAAAAATTGAATTGCGGATTC